TATAAGGTCACGTGATGAAATCATGTTCGTCGTCTAATTGTTACGTCATCTATTAATTCGATCATTGTTTATTCTCTCGCGTTTTGAAAAAAACGTTTCGTTTTTAAAAAATTCGCTTTGAATTGTTTCGAAACTTTTTTTTTTTTTTTTTTTTTTTTTCAATGTTTTCGTCGTTCGAGGTGAAAAAAATTTTATAATTAACTTTTCATTTAATTAAATAAAAAACTCGATGGGATGTCGAATAAAAAGAACAAATAAATAATAAATTTATTTCATTTTTATAATTTCGAATGTTTCATATTCGAACGCGCGTAAATTTTACGCGGTAATTTATATTAATTAATTAGTAAACGGGATCGCGTAAAATTACCCTTGAGATGATTTTAAAACCATTTTTTTTTTTTTAAATACATTTGCGGTAATATTCGATTAACAACTAATTAATAGTAATGATAATAATAATGATAATAAATAGGAGTTATTTATAACGTTTTTAAATTAATTTTCTTTCCTTTCCCCCTCCCCTTTTTTTTTTAAATTTTATTATACCCGAGAGTACGTGAATAAAAAAGTACCGTTTGTAAATGGTTTACCACGACGCATTTAATTTTACGGCATGAACCAGCATGAAATTAAATTTCAATAAATATATTTGATGGTAAAAAAAAAATATAAAAATAGCCCAATATAATTTAATACAAAAAAAAAAAAAAAAAAGATGATAAAACCCTTCGTTTTTAAGTATAGGCAACCCTGCGTGCGTCCAAGTACGTTCATTTAAAAAAAGAATAATCTGCGCCTTTGTACGAAACGAATCTCGTGACGTCAACACAATTTTTTTTTTTTTTAAATGTCAAAAAAAAAATTTTTTTTTTTTTCTTAATAAAACTTGACGTTCTAATTGATTTTATAAACTTTGACGTAAATACAAATACAACACACACGACATTCGTAGAATTTCAACATATATTCAATCCATCAACATAGAAGTTTACTATTTGAAAAAAAAAAAAAAAATCATGTTTACACATGTTATTATCATTTACACAACAATAAATTAAAATCAAAAATCAAAGGCAAGCATTATAATAATTAAAAAAAAAAAAAAAAACTTTAAATAAATGTTTCAACCTTGGATAAATTTATTATTTAAATTACCGGACACGACGACGTTGTTGTCAGTATCAAGTCAAACGAAACCAAAAAAAAAAAAAAAAAGAAAATCAACCATGGGTAAAATGATTATCAAAATATCCGATGATAACCTTCCGACCCCCATCCTTCCTTTCAACCATTTAAAAAATACCTGTTAATTCTAAAATAATAAAAAAAAAAAAAAAAAACTTTTCCCGTCTTTCTTACCTTTTTTCGTTTTTCCATTCTGACGGATAAATTTTTCTCTGTTTCCATCGCATCCAAACATTCCCTTCCCTATTTTCACCCCTTTCTATTTTTTTTATATTTTCATTCAAATTTTTATTTTTATTACTACAACAATTTTCCCGTTTTTCATAATAATCCTCTCCCCGATTATTATTTTCGTTCATATACGTACGAAAGTTAAATGGATTACACCCACACATATTTCGAACGCGATAAATTAACAAAGGAAAGGCCGATGGGGGGCGGGGGGAAAGGGGGAAGGGGGGAACGAAAACAAAAAAAAAATTATTTACCGCAATGAATTCATCATATTTAAAAAAAAAATTTTTTTTTTTAAAATAAATTTGAACTTTCAACTTTCGACAAACAAGCGCAAAAAAAAAAAAAAAAAAACCTTTTTTTAAACCGAAATTTGTTTTGTGGGTAAAACAACAACAGGGAAACGCCAACGCGAAAACTTGTCAACAAAAAAAACAAAACAAACAAACAAACAAACACAAAAAATCAATGAATAATTTTTTTTAACAACGTTTGTTGTTAACGTTTGTACGCGTAAACTTATTCTATATATATAAAATGTAAAAGAAAAATTTCATTTTTTTTTTTTTTTTGTGGTTGTTGTAAACCCTCGATGCCATGTGGACAATGGCTGGCTCTATTGGTCGACAAATAAAATAAACATAAATTGATTTTGATTTACATAGGTTTAATACAAACATCTCGGTCAATATATAAAAACAAACGTGAGAACGTTTTTCCTTTTTCTATTTTTTTTTCAAACAATGAAATTTTGTGACTCACGAATTAATTGTAAGTGAATTTAATTTTTTTTTTTTTTTTTTTTTACCTGTTCGTAATTATAATCAGGTACGAAAACAAAACAAAACAAAAAAAAAGTTTCTATAAATTCGTGTAAATTTCTTAGAAGCACACGCACTCTCTCTCTCTCTCTCACGCACCCTTCCGCCCCCGCAACCACTCTCCCATCTACCATCTCACGTAATAAATTTATTATTATTATCATTATCATTATTATTATTATCATAAACCCCATGATGTTTATTTATACTTTATTCCATAGAAATAAAAAAAAAAAAAATTTTTTTTTTTTTATAATTCAACTTCATAATTTCATCGGGTTTTTACTCCGTTAAAATAAACGTAACGATTTCGTTAGTACATAAAAAAAAAAAAAAAAAACGTGGCATTAGAAAAAAATAAAAAATATGTTCATAACCGAGCGAAAAAAAAAAAAAAAAAAAACAAATTCGAATAACCGTTTTCGTCGTTGTAAAAAAAAAAAAAAAGACAAAAACAAACAAACACACAAACGCATATGAAATATGAATTGAAGTGTCATTAGATTCATTTATATATTTATCACCATATAAAACAATTTACGATTATTGTTATTATTATTATTATTATTATTATTTTTATCACAATTTTTAATTTTATTTGCTTTCTTGTTTTAAGGTTTTTGTTTTTGTCTTTTTGAAAAAAAAAAAAAAAAAAAAAAAAACATTATCATGTTTGATTTTACGTAACTTTCACGTTATGTTATGTTACGCAAACAAAATCACCGGGGAAAAATAATTAATTACACGACGGAAATAATAATTTTTTTTTTAAATTTAAATTAATCGATACCTTTACCGATACGTTTAACGTGCAAAAAAAAACAATAATAATAATAATGATAAAACTTACTCGGGTGAACTTGTCGGATCTTCAATAACGAAATTTTTTTCTCCTATTGTCGCAGCCAATAAAATTAATTTTTTCGGCGTGTCATATTGCATTAAACTCATCAAACTTTGATCGGACATTTTATTTATTCCTTTCAATGCCTAAAAAAATCCATTTAAAATAAAAAAAAATTACCGCCACGACCGAATCAACCGTTTAAGAAGCAGAAGAAAAACGTAAAAAAAAACAAATAATAATTGTCAAGAGGCATAAACGTCTTTAACAAATGTGTTTAATGGAACTTTGTTAATGTATGTTTATTTATGACTAATTGTTTTTTTCCTTTTTTTTTTCTCCTTCCTTCCTTCTATCTCTCTCTCTCTCTCTCTCTCTCTCTCTCTCTCTCTCTCTCTCTCTCTCTCTCTCTCTCTCTCTCTCTCTCTCTCTCTCTCTCTCTCTCTCTCTCTCTCTCTCTCTCTCTCTCTCTCTCTCTCTCTCTCTCTCTCTCTCTCTCTCTCTCTCTCTCTCTCTCTCTCTCTCTCTCTCTCTCTCTCTCTCTCTCTCTCTCTCTCTCTCTCTCTCTCTCTCTCTCTCTCTCTCTCTCTCTCTCTCTCTCTCTCTCTCTCTCTCTCTCTCTCTCTCTCTCTCTCTCTCTCTCTCTCTCTCTCTCTCATCTTTTAAAGGTATATAAACAGGTGAGAATAAGTAGGTGCTAAAAAAAAAAAAAAAAAAAAAAAATCTTATATTTGTTAAATAATAATACGTTTAACGAGTTCGACGCATTTTGCAAAAAAAAAAAAAAACGAAAAGAAATAAAGAAAAAAAAAAAAAATGGCGTTTTAAAAAATTTTTTTTCTTTCCTCCCTATCCCTCCCCTTCCCCAATCCCTCTCCCTCTGTCCTTTTCCCTTTAAATAAATAAAAATTTATTTATTTTATTTATTTATTTATAAAAATTTTTTTAAATTTTTTTTTTAGAGAGAAAAATCTTTAAAAATTTCACAAATTCACTCACAAGTGAATCCGGTTTTGAAAAAAAAAAAAAAAAACAAAAACCCCCCGACCGTTAAGTTTACATTTATGAGTAATAGGCCAACGACACACCACGATGATAATAATACTGATCATAATAATATTTAAAAAAAATGAGAGAGAAAGAGAGAGAGAGGGGGAGAGAGAGACAGAGAGAGAGAGAAACAAACGAAATCGAAATAACAGAAAAAAAAAAAAAAAAAAATTTTTTTTTTTTTTTTTCCTAAAGCAGACGATTACATAATTTTTTTTTTTTTTTTTACCCCCTCTATAACAAAACCATTAATTATAAAATGATTCGTAACAACAAAAAAAAAAAAAAAAAAAAATTTTCGCGTTTATTCACACTGTCAAAATCAAAATAATAATAATAATAATAACAATGAATACAATAAAACAGAATAAAAAAAATAAAAAATTGAAATTCTGTTTGTCGCGTTCGCGTGTTTTATAAAAGCAAAAACAACAACGACAACCACAAACACAACAAAAAAAAATTATTTTTATTTATTCAATTCGATCGCTTAGCTATGCTTAAAAATCATCGTAAAAAAAAAAAAAAAACGCAAGCAAAACCTTGAAAAAAAATTTAATAACCGTGTAAAAATAAAAAATGGGGGTCACTCATCCATTGACCTTTAATCTCTTTAAATATATAAATTTATACAAAAAAAATATATAATATCAATATGGCTAAATAAAAAAATTAATTTTTTTTTTTTTTTTATAAATTTCATTTCCTTGTTTACTATGTTACCAAGCAACAACCATTTTGGTTTTAAAAAAAAAAATTGGTAAATCGTATCGGTTATTTACCCGGTTAGATTTTTTTTCTCTAGTATTATTATTATTATTTCCTTATTAAGTTAGAAGGAAAAGCCTAAAAAAAAAACAAAAATGGTGGACGTAGGAAAAGAAATAGAAATACCGTAAGTGTGACAAAAAAAAAAAAAAAAATCATTCGAATTCGAATGAGAAACGATCGATAAACAAATGAAGTGAACGTGCATGTTTATACGGTTAAATATTGTTTATGTAAATAATAATTAAAAGTCGTGGCACTAGAATTTTGTCGGAAAAATAATAATAATTTTGTCGCACTTTTTTCTCTTGCAGATGGGTTAAACCGGGAAGAAAAGTTAAAACGTTCATGTTAGGCAAAGACATTATCATTTTAGTGAGTGGAAATTTTTTGACATTCATCGAAACTTCGAAACCGGAAAAAAACGAACTCATATATAATGCAAATAGCGAAGCTCGCGGTGATGGAATCGAATGTTTTGCAACTCATAAAACTCTTAATTGTTTTGCATTTGCTGAAAAAGCTAAAAATCCAAGGATTTTAATTCTTTCATATCCGAATTTTGAAATTTTCCGAAAATTCGATAGTTTGTAATCATTTATATTATTTCATTTCTTACTCCTCAATTTGGAATTTCAAATTTTTTTTTTTTTTAAAATCAATTTTCGATTTGATTTCAGGTGTGACGGAATTACAATATCAAAGTTTAAAATTTTCCGAAATGGAATATCTAATAGCTTTGACCGGAAAAAATGATTATAAAATTGTTATTTGGAATTACAGGACGACGGATAAAATTTACGTACAAGAAACTAAAATGAAATTTCCAAAACAAAACCTTTGGTTCGTTTTTTTTTTTTTTTTTTTTTTTCCCCTAAAAAAAGAAACCGGAAATGAAAACTAAAACGTTTTTTTTTTTTTTTTTTTTTTTTTTATATATATATTTAGCGTGTCATGTACGTCACCGATACAAATCCTTCAATATTCTGCCAATAATCATGAAATTAATTTTTGGAACATGAACGTTTGCTATAAAAAAACCGTCATAAATAAAACAATTCAAATCCTTAATGAAAATATTTTGCCGCCATTTTTTTTTTGCTACGGAGCCGAGGGGGAATTATATTTCATCGATTCAACGAGTTCCCTATATCACGTAATAATTTTTTTCCTTATGTTATCTAAAACTATTATTTTTCGTCATTTTCGAATCGTTGACGTCATCGTCAACGTCATCGTCAACGTCATCGTCAACGTCATCATCCTCATCGTCATCCTGATCGAGATAATATTTTTTTATTAACACTTTGCTCATATATTGATTAAGAATCAAATTCGAATCGTTTTTTTTTTTTTTTTCAATTGTAAAATAATAAGGAAAAGTTTTTAGACTCGAAATGATAATAATAATAAATTAATTACAGGTAAATTCGGAAAATAGAAAAGTTAATTTACAAATTCCTGGATCGGGAAGCAAAGGATTAGATTATACTCCGTGTCTTGTATGGTACAAAGGCGGTTTAGTATTTACAACCCACGAAGAAGTACAATTTTGGAGACGTAAATCTCCCGAAGGGTGGACTCTAGTTTGGGTCTACATTCCTAAAATACCTTTCGTCAAACTTCTTTCATCTGCGACAAAAGATAACCTCATAGGAATTACTAAATGGGTAACGTGAACTTTTTTTTTTATGTGTTTTACGGTCTGGAAAATCTGAAAAATTTTCCCTTTGATAAAATTTGTTAATTTTCCCTTTTTCTAACTTTTCTTTTTTTTTTTTTTTTCATTCCTTCAAAACAAGAATGAAGTTATGATATTTAAAGGAGAAACACAAATCGATTGCATCAAGGTAAGAAGTTACGGATCCGATTTTGAATTTTTTTGTTTTATTTATCCGGTCGGAGAATATTTTTTAACATTTGGAAACGTCATGAAATGTTTTACAACTTGGAGTAAAATAACTGGATTAAAGGTAAATTCATTATTATTATTATTATCCACCATTAAACACGACAAGGCTACTTGTCGGAGTTTTTAAGTATTTATCCGAGGTTTCTACCCGATTCCTTAGGGACAAATACTCGAATTTCGGTGGTGCCACTTATTATAAGATAGCACCACATCAATTCTTGAAGGTCTTCCTGAGTCCGTCTTTTTTCGATGGGAACGATTTGTCTCCTGAACTGGGCTCCGGTGACTAACATCTTTGGAGTGGCCAGGGTCAGAAGCAGTGAAATTCACGTTCTCGTCGAGCTGCCTCAGGTCGACAGTAGAACAAGATTTGTTTTTGGGTTCTTACTTTGTCTTGTTCTCATTTATTTTTGCTCTTTTAAGCCAACAGCACGTGGCGTTCTCAAACGGTCACCCATCCAAGTTTGCACCACGCCCGATGCTGCTTAACTTCGGTGATCGTACGGGAACCGGTGTGACCAGCACGCTATGGCCGTTGGCTTTTATTATTATTATTATTATTATTATTATTATTATTATTATTATTATTATTATTATTATTATTATTATTATTATTATTATTATTATTATTATTATTATTATTATTATTATTATTATTATTATTATTTCGCACTTTTTTAAAAAAAAAATCGTTTTACAACAACACGTTTCGTTTTTCCGAATTTTCGTCAAATTGAAAATTAACGCTTACTCCTATTAAAGAAAAATCCGACAACAAACAATTCTTTTAAATACCATCCGACAAAAATAAGTCTCGACAAACAACAACAAATATTATTAAAAAAATTAACAAAACAACAACAACAACAACAAACAACAACCCTGAGACACTTTTAAAACAAAATCATCTAAGATATTTGATTGACAGAAGAACAAACGTGAAAACCAAACCTTAAAAAACTTTTGTGCGACAACCACAACCACTGCACTGCATCGCATCAAAATGCAAAAAAAAAAAAAAAAATTAAAAAAATGACAACCAACTGCTAAACGAACAAACCGAAAAAACGAATAAATTTAATAAAAATTTAAATACCAAAAAAAAAAGCAACGATAATAATAATAATATGCCCTTTAAAAAGTTCAAAACAACAACAACCGTTATTATTATTATTATTTATATTACATTTAAAAAGTACGTCAACGTCAATCTATTCAGTACGTCAGTCAAAAATATGAAAATTTCAAAATTACTATCCTCCTCTAATATTTGTAAAAAAAATTTCAAATGAGTCTGCTGCCACGTGAATTTTATAAAAAAAAAAAAAAAAAATTGAATTTTCTCATTAAACTTTCCAACAGCGGAATTCAATTTTTCTTTTTTTTTTTTTTCTTAAATTCACTTCGACGAAAAAATTTAATTTAAAAAAAAATATATATTCAACAAACAGACAAACAAACAAACAAAAAACTATTCATTATTTATATATAAAAAAAAATAAAAATAAAAATAAATAATTAAATAAGTTTTTTTTTTTTTTAATAAAAAATAAATAAATTAAATGATGATGATGATAATGATAATGATGATGATGATAATAAAGAGAAGAAATAATAAATTTATTCAAATTTTATGTGTACGTCGAAAGCAGGGACGGCGGGAGGCAGGGGAGGCGGAGGGGAGGGGGACGGCCGCCACCGCCGCCGCCGCCGCCTCTTCTTTTTACGACAATCAAGTGAATAAAAAATTTTGTTTATGTTATTCAAACGGAAGTTGTTGAAAAGTTTTCAAAATAAGTAAACCTTATCGATTTTTCCTTTTCAATGTTCCTTTCATTTACAAGAAAGAAAAACGTGACATTCAATAATCACCAACACAAAATAAATTTTATGCATTTAAAACTTTTAAAGAAATTTTTTTTTTTTTTTGTTTTGTTTTGTTTTGAATATAAAAATCCACGACAAATAAAAAAAAAAAAAAGGAGTCACGACAAACGCGTTAATTTTATTTTATTTTTTTTATTTTTTTTTTCCTTTTTTCCTATTTTTACTTTTATTCTTTTCTTCCTTTTTTCCATTTTTCCTTTTTTTTTTTTTTTTGTTAAGGCGACACAAATGACTTGGACTAGAAACAAAGTCACGGCTATGGAATCAAATCCCAAGAGACCCTATTCGGTTGTTTTAACAGAAGATGGACGAGTTATTATAATAAACACGTACGATCCAAAATTTTTAATGGAACTCGACGAGATTTTCCTCACGAGAAATTCTTTGAACGCCGTCAAATTTTCCTATCACGGAATTCAATTTTGCGTTGCTAATATTAACATCGGTGAATTTTTTTTACTCAGGGTAATCAACAATTTATTCATTTAACGCGTTTGCGATTACACCCCCCACACCCTCACTCCCCCACTCCCACTCAACCGTTTTTTTTTTCTCTGTTTTCTGTTCCAGTTGCCCAGCAAGTTAGACGTTGTCGCACAGATAAAAATCGATTTGAAAATTGTCGATTTTGGTATCAACGAAGGAACGGATGGTAAACTTTTCCTATTTGTCGTTCCCATGTCTCAACTTTGCTGTCGTTCAGGTCACAATTTGATGATTTACACGTTACTCGATAAATCGAAAACATTTGAATGCATCAAAGATATTGCCATGCCTTGGATAGTTACGTCCATATTACCCTCTCCGGAGTCACTGACTGAACTTTTTTGCGTTCCTCATAGATCTCGTCAATTGTACACACTTAACACCCAAACCGGAAAGGTCGATTGCGATTTTTTTTTTTTTTTTTTCGTTTAAATGAAAAATTTTCCCAATTTTAAATGATTCGATTGTATTACGTATTTCAGGCTGGTCAAAAAATGAACACCGGTCATCAATTGAAACTTTTTTCAGTGGCGTATCAAAACGGTTCATTATTTACGTATGGTATCGATGGCATCATATTTGCTCATAATATCGTTACAAGAAAATGTTTTACCGCATTTTCAACTCATCATCGTCTTAGCGGAGGAATAAAAAAAATAATTATCGGTCCATATAGAAAATACGTGGTCAGTTTAGGTGATGAAGGACCCGTTGTTTGTATTATTTTAAAGTAAAATTCTTCATTTTCTTTTTTTTTTTTTTTTTTCCCCTCTTGCGATGAATGATTCCGACGAATTTGTCCAAACGATGATTTTTTTTTTCACACGCAGAAAATTAGCAAAAATGGATATGAAAGACGAAAACGAAGCCATGTTATTTTCTCCACTTTTCAAACAAATTTTTTTCCATCCTCTGGCTAGCGAAAAAGCAAAATTAAAAGCGCTCGAAAAATTACTTTTACAATATCCGGGACAAGCAGCCGAAACGAGAGAAGATTTTGTACAAAAATCTAAAGTGTGGGAAAAAGCTTGGTTGGAGAGTCAAACGGAAGAAATTCTCTTTCAAGAAGAAACTACGAATAAAAAAGAAAAAATGAACATAATCGAAGAATTGGATGCCATCAAACTCAAGGTTCGGTCTAAATTTTTTTTTTATATGATTGAGATAAAAATTTTAACTTCCCGAATACTTTTTTTATTTTTTTGTCACAGATTAGACAATTACTCAATGAAAATAGTGCAAATCCTCCGGATAGACAACTTCCGGTTCAAAATTTCGACGTGGACAAAACGACACGTCGTAAAAAATTAGAAGATGGTAAAACGGATAGGGAAAAAGCAAAACAAATAGAATTGGCAACGATAAAAAGTTATAATAAAATAAGCGAAATGATAATAAAAATCTGTTGGGATAGCATATTCGTCAAAGGACGAGAATTGCACGCCATATTGAGGCCGACTATAATACAAAGCTATGCACTTTTACCCGAGAGTCCCCCTTCGAAAATATCTAAAAATTTCACAGACGAAAGAGTCAAATTGGAAATATTTTTTCACAAAGGTGATTTTTTCGAACCCTGGGTTCCCATGGACGAAAGGTTAGTTTAGAAAAAACATTACCATCACCACCACCACCACCACCACCACCGCCACCATCTTTCACACACGATCGCATAATTTAATAAATATTAATAATAATAATAATAAATGATGTTCAGCACGTTAGAAATGCAGATGAATACAAAATTTCAAGTTTCGAGCATAGACATAACGGAAACGATAAAAACAAAATTCAAAGAAGAACAATTGGACGAAGAAAGTGGTAAAGCACACGCCGATAGCATGATGGAAAAATTATCGTGGTCCGGAACTTCGACTCATAATTTCATACAGATAAATCCTTATCACTACAGTCAATTTGAATTGGTTACGTTTTTTCAAGCACACCAAGAAATCGAATTGATTCAGGTATTTGACGAAACCCTTAAAAAAATAAAAAAATAACTTACCCTTAAATTTTTTTCGGACGAACGAAAAACTTTTTATTCATGGTTCATTTATCAGAACGAACGATACAAACGTATATATTTTTTCCAAAAACGGCTGGAAACTGAAAGGAATTTAAAACAATTATTAAAAAAAGAAAAAAATGAATTTTTTTGATTTATTTATTTATTTAGGGGAGGTAAACAAAAAAAAAAAAAATCGATAAAAAAAAAAAAAAATTTTCTTTTTCTCTTTTTTTTTCAAACAGTCGGACATAAAAAAATTAATGCTTTGGTTCAATAAAGAATTCAATGAAAAATTTAAATTAAAAGAAATGGAAGTTGAATTTTTAATAGAAAGAAATAATCGTTTGCGTCACATCGTGAACGAACTCAATTATTTTCGCTTTTTACCGGAAATTTGTCAAATTCAAATCTACGATCCTCAATGGTCTCCATACGAAAATCCGGAAACGATATTGACCGTCGAAGATTCCGAGGTTATTCTTTTTCTAACAATTGAAAATTTTTCTTTTTTTTTTTTTTTTTAAATAATGATGATAATTTTACTCTCTCTCTCTCTCTCTCTCTATCTCTCTCTTTTCCCAAACAGATAAGCGTACCCAAATATATATCGGAGAGCGAAATGGAAATGATAGAATTGAAACAAATGGAAGAAGAAAGGTTGAGGCAATTACTATTGGCTGATGATTTCAGAGAAAAAGCACTCATTCAAATGATGGATGGAGTTTTGGAAAAACTATGGGAAGACGAAATAAAAAAAGATCCACCCAAACCGAAATGTTTGGTAGGGAAAAACACATGCACATACAAACAACAACAACAACAAAAACATTTTATTATTATTATTATCATAATCATTTTCCCCCCCCCCATTTTTTTTTTTGAAGACGGATAAAGAACCCGATGCGTACACCGATGAAGATTTAAAAGTAATAAAACAATATGAAGAATCCATGAAAATGTTAATAAGCGAAAGAGAAAGATATAAAAAAATATTAGAAGAAAGATGGCAAAAAACAATTGCTTCCGTTAAAGTAAGTCGTCATTCGTCGCCATTTTGTTTTTCTTTTTTCTTTTTTCTTTTTCCTCTCATCAGAAAAACAAAAAAAAAAAAAAATCGTTAAGAATTTAAAAAAAAAGAAAAGTTTTTAAGATTTTGTTTTTTTTGTTTTTTTTTTTTTTTTTGAATATTAATTTTAATACTTAACCGCCATATTTAAGCTTTAAAAATTTTTCATTAAAAAAACCTTCCTTTTTTTATTTATGTTAATAATAATAATAATAATAATATTTTAAATTAATCAGGATTCGGTGGCGAAATTCGATGATAAATTAATGAAATTTCATTTTTTAAAATTAAAAGTTCAATCGGCTATAGAACAGGAAACTTTGAAAATATTAAGAATAAGACTTCGCTGTTTTCAAAAAATCGAACTGGACAGAAAAGAAGAAAATATAAAGTATGGAAAAAAAGGGGGGGGATTTTTGCAAAAGGGGGATCCCCATTGTTCACAACAATAACAAATATATTTTCGCAGATCTCACATGGTTAAAAACGAAAGGAAAATTGAATGGATAAGTACGGAATTGAACAAGCTCAACGACACTCTTCAAGATTGTAAAAATTTTTACGATAATTTACAAGTGAAAGATAAAAATTTGGATAAAAATTTTAAAAAAGAATTTTCCGATTTTTCACCCATGGTAACCGAACAACTTCATAAAATAAGCAAGTGAGAATAATTTGTTTTTTTTTTTTTAATAAAAATCTTAACAAAAGTTCTTTTCATAAAAATTATCCTTTTAAAATAGGAAAAGACCCAAACTGTCGCAAAAAGCAACTCTATATTCCGTTATACTTCACGAAATAGGAAAATGCGTCGTTTCCAACGTCAAGTCGGAAAATCTACCAACGGAATGCATACAATATTTAAAAGAAATCGATGCTTTGGACAGTCACAGCAACGCTCCAGCAACCGTTAATCAACAATCATGGGATCTTGTTTGTAAATTAAGAAGAGCGAAAATCGAAACGGAATTAAAAGTTTGACAACCAAAAAAAAAAATTTTCATAATCATCGACAAAATCCATATTTATTTACTTTTTTTTTTTTTGTTTAAATAACAGATCAGAGCTTGTGCAAACGATTTAGCCGAAGCTGAAGCAACCGTTGCCACATATGTCAAAGCATTGAAACACACGAAAGACCAACAATCGCAATTGATGCACAATTTACAAGATTTAAGAAACGAAAGACTTAATTTATTGACAAACAATCAAATTCAATTGGTTATGAAAAAGGGACTCGTCGAAGTTGCCCTATCAGGACAAATATCAGATTTCGACGATTGCATATTGACAACAAAACAAAAATTAATGGAAGTTAACAATTCTATAAAAGTAAATTTTTTTTTTTCACAAAATATCCTCCCTGCGATTATAATAAATAATAATGATAATAATTAATAATAATAATTATTATTATTATTATGTAGAAAATGGGTTTGCAAAAAATAAAAGCGATGCGTAAAGCGGCAAATTTTAGAAAAGGAATTATTTACAACGAATGGGAACATAAAAAATTAAAAATGGAAATTGAAGATTTAAAAGACAAACTTGAAACCGTGCAAAAATTCAAGGTTTTTACAAAAAAAATATATAAATATAAATATTATTATTATTATTTTATTTCCTCTCGATCGATATCGATGTTTTATCGAAAAACGAGAGACGTGTAAAAAAAAATTGAATTTGATTTATCAAACTCATATCCGGTTTTTGTATATTTTTTTTTTTTTTTTTTTAAATAGGTTTTAAAAGAACTTCAGTCTATATTAGTTGCTCGTGCGAGAGGATTTTCAGACGAAAAAGGTTTTTTATATCTTGAAAATGAAATAGCCAAAGCAAAAGATGTGAGTTTAATGCCTGCCCTCCCACCCACCGCGCCGCCATCTTTAATATAAATTAAATAACGATCATCTTTTTATTAATGTTTTTTTTTTTTTTTTTATACATAATAGAAATTTCTAAAAGTTCAAGAGGAATTATCATCGAAAATAGATGAATTCGATTTAAAAATTCAAAAAATAAATCATAAAAATGATATATTGAATAGAAAAATAGAAGAATTAAATGTCGAAGTCAACGAAATGAATTTGGAAAACGATAAAGAATTTGACGATATTAATTTTCAAGCGAATCAATTAAAGTTTGTTGTTTTTAATTTTTTTTAATTTTTTAATTGCGTGGGAGGATTTATTTAATTTAATTTGTTTGCTCTCTTTTTTTTTTTTTTAGAATGAAAAAAATCCGAGAGAAAAGTAAATATT